GTGCTGCTGGGGCAGCGCTGTCTCTGGGGTTGCCCCGGCCAGGCTGTCCTGGTGTGTCCTGTGCCAGCTTTCAAGAGAGCGGAGGCTGGGGCTCCTCTGTGGGGTGGCCCCCACGTGGGCCTGCGCCCTTTGAGCTGGGCTCCCTGGGGGCGAGCGTCCTTGTTTCAGCCATTCTGCAGAGGAGGAAGCTGAGGCTTAGCGGTCGCACACAGGGGCCCCGAGGGCCACCATGCCAGGCCCCCTCCTTCTCTTATCCCCACGATGTCCATAACAACATACCCAGCCCTGCAGTCTTCCTCGGCTGCAGGTGACCTGGCCGCTCCCCGGAGGCAGGCATGGTGGGGGTCTTGAGCAGGGGGCAGCCTTGGGCTGTCACAGTGGCCAGGGTGTCATCACAGCGGCCTTTTGGTGGGGAGCGGGGGTGGGCGGGGCGGTGCTCGCTGCTCCCCTCCTGGCTGGGGGGTGCCCGCGAGCGTGAGGACAGGGGGAGTGGGAGAGGCTCTCCCCGCAGCCTCCCGAGGACAAGCTTCTGCCCCTGGGGCTGTAGCCCCGAGAGGGCCGGCTGGAGCCGTGCCCGGCACGCGGGGGTGGACGCTCGGCCTGGAGATGGGCAGCGTAGTCGCAGCCCACCCCACGCCAACCCCAGCTGCCCCGACGCACCCTGACCCTGAGGGAGGGCCGAGCGGTGGACTGTGGCCCGAGGGCCCCAAAGAGCCGAGCCCTCGCTGCCTCCTTCCCGCGTGGCCGTGGCGGCACCATCTCGTGGCGCCCTCTCTAAACTAGGGGCCCTGGGCGCCTATTAGCTTCCGGGCCTCCGCCGGTGGGGCTCAGGACCCAAGGGGGCGACCGGGGGTGAGTTTGCCCAGATCGGGGCAGGACCTGGATTTACCGCAGGACTGCGGGGCCCCCACGCTGGGCCCTGCGCTGGGGAGGGCACCTCCTGCCACCGCCATGCTGCTCTCTGGGCTTGTGCCGCGCCAGGGCTGGGCTGCTGCTCTGACGCAGCGAAGGGACAGGGAACGAGCTGCTGACAAGGAGGCGCTGGTCACGACAGTGGGCCAGGAGGGGGAACCCCGCCAGCGCCATGCCACAGACAGCGCCCAGCTACAGCGGAAATGAGGTCCTGCTTCTGCCGCCGGCAGGTGCATAACCTCCCAGAGCCTCAGATTACCTCTGTGGGACAGGAGGTTGTTGAGGTTCACCAGGGCCTCGCCCGGTGGCTGGTTTCTCTGCCCCTTGTGGGGAAGCGGGATCCACAGTGCTGGCTGGTGGCATTCTGGCTTGTCTACCATGGTGAGGAGAATGGTAGGTGTGACTATGCCCACGGGCTAATGATCAGGACTGGAAAAACCAGCTGAGCATGTGGAAGGCTCGGGGCCCTCTCCCCTGCCCCCCCAGCGGGCTCCCCTTCTCAGCCTGGGCATTGATGTTCCTTGACCCTAATGCTGCCATCTGCCTAAGAAGAGGATTAAGAAAGGCCTGGTCTGCGGCAGGCCTTCACTGTGTCCGGAACCACAGCAGCCACTTCATCACCATGAGGGCAGCCTCATTTCTCGTGGCTGCAGTCTCCGGCCTGAGAGAGTTGAGTCTGCGGGAGGAAAACCAAGGAGCAGAGGGATGGGAGGCTTAGGCCACATTGTCTGAGCTCTGGGGGAAGACCTTTCTCAAGGGCCAAAGCAAAACAAAAAGACTTTATATTTAAAGTGAAAAGAAACTGCTGTTTGACATTCAAGCTTCAGTAACTGCAGTATGTCCCTCTGCGGAGAAAGATGGCTTTGTGGCGGGCACCCTCTGCGGCGGGCAGCCTCTGCGGGGGGCAGCCTCTGCGGGGGGCAGTAAGGGGCCGCTGGAACGCTGCACTGTCCGGGCTCTCTGATGAGCAACAAGCCCAGGGGCAGGGACAGGGCCCAGGGCCTGAACAGAAACCACCCAGGTGGCACCGTCCAGGCAGCTGAGACCGCACCGGGGACGGGTGCGTTGACCCACTCTGAGCCCAACTCCCCAGGGTGCTGCTCAGAGAGCTTCCCCGTCCTTCCTGCATGGCAGCAAGCTTCTTGCTTTTCTGCCCAAGTCCGGTCTCCACGTCGAGTTCTTCCCTCCCGGACGAGTCTCTGGGGCATCGCTTGTTCCGGGTGCGTGTCCGCACTGTCCCCCCAGGCTCCGCGTGCGTGTCCCCTCTGCCCCCCTGTGCTCTGGCACCTTCCCGCTCCTCTCTGGCCTGTGCTTGCTTGCGGCTGGCCTCCCGCAGGGAGCTTTCTCAAATGGAACACAGCGCTTTACATTCAAAGGCTGGACCCCGGCGGTTGGCGGCACTCACGCGACCGACCGGGGTAATTCACGAGCTACTAATGAGCCCCAGTCGGGCCCCTGGGCGCCCCCAGCTGGAAGCCGCAGGACCCCTGCACGCCCTGGGCCCCCATCCCGGCCCGCGGAGGGCCTGGTGTTACACAAAGGGGCTTCGGCCACCGGGCGGCCCCGCGGCCCCGTGACTCAGCCCCCTCGGACTCGCTGCTTCCCCCCTTTGCCAGACGAAGCCCTTCTGCCTCGGAGGAGCCCCGGAGGCCGCCACACCCCATCCTGAGGAGCGCAGGGGCAGGTGGCTACCTCCGGGACACCAGGACTGGTCCCAGCCTGGGGAGCGCATTTGACTCTGCATTGGCCAATCGGAATGCTTCGTCTCTCCTATTGGCTCAAGGATCAGCATGTGACCCGCGCTCCACCAATCAGAACCCTCCCTGCTGGTGGTCTTCGGCTAGGCGGGCAGTCATCCCCTTGGCTGGCGGTGAGCCGCTCGGAGAGTGTCCCGGGCGGTGGAGAGAAGAGTCTGAACATAGTGTTTAAGCCCCTGGATCCAGCCACTCCTGAAGCTCACTACCCCTGGTTTTTCCACCTGCATGACAAATAGATTCCTTTACAGCCTGGGTGTAAGTCTGTCACTTGCGGCTAAAATGCCCCAGAATTAGCCCCCCCCCCTTTTTCTCGCTCCACCCTGTAATCTCGATTTCTGCTAAAGCCCCCGATGAGCAGCCCGCCTGGGCTCGCCGTGAGTCAGGCTCAGCAGCCAGGCTGAGGATATGGAATTGCACGTGTGAGCAGGCCGTGCAAAATCATTTCTAGCTGGTGGAGTAAATTCCTCTCCCACCCTCCGTTCAGCTGGGGCGGGGGTCCCCTGCAGAGCGCCTGCCGGGCGGGTGACCCGGGAGCCGCAGGAGCCAAGGGCTGGGGGACCTTCGGACTTAATCATTCCTGACTTTTAATGGTCGCTAGTTAATTTCCTTCCTGAAGAGAGCGGTTTTGACCTTCACCTCCAGCCCCCATTAACTGCTGACAATGCTTTGTCAGCATGTTTATGACAAATTAATTATACAGAGAGGGGAAGTCTCGCTGGGGAAATGAGTGCTCGGGCCTGGGCTGGAGGGGGGCGCCGGGCTGAGTTCTACCAAGCGTCAGATCCCACTGACAGGGGCCTGGTTAACCACAGACCTCGGGCAGAGCGAGAAGCAAGGGACTGGTCTCCAGCACACCACAGAGGAAAGACTATGCCAGGGGCAATAAATGGAGCCCTGGGAGCCCTTTCACCTGGCTGGTGTTGCGCCTGGGACACACCCTCGGGCGATGGTGGGGGGCTGTGCCGGCTGTGCGGCTGCATCCTGTGCCCCTCCCCGATGCACCCAGCTTCCTTGTTGCAGGGACCTGCCAGCTCTCCGGGGAGTACCCGTGCCGGAAGGCCCTGCCTGCCCACAGGCCAGGGTCAAGGGCAAGCCGCAGGCCGTGTGACCTGGCCCCGCTGAGGTGTCCCGGGTGCGCCACCTTGCTCTGGCCTTGCCACGGTCGGGGCTGTTAGGGCCCGGCCTCCTTCCTCTGTCCCCTGCCGGGTGGAGGAAGGGCTCTGGCCTGCCGTGTCCGCGGGGAGGCCCCAGCCCCCCGGCCCTGCCAGGGACCCTGTCCCACACGTTCCTTCGTTCCTGTGGGTCTTCTTGCCTGGGACTCGCTGCCCTGTCCAGCGCTCCCCTGCGGCCTGAGGGTGCGGATGGCTGGCTGAGAGACGGCCTTTGTCCCCCTTTCTGTGGCCCAGGGCCCGGCCCTCAGGAGGTGCCCAGGGAGGGCCTGCCCAGCCTAGATGGACACAGCATGGAGTGGCGGGCCCCCGGCCCGGGAAACCCCAGCCAGTCTCGGGCCCTTGCCCATCTCTCCTCATGCTGAGTGAGGGGCGGCCCACCCCACCCAGTCCGGGGTAGACCACGTGACACCCCTTTGTTCCTGGCAGATCACGTGACACCCTCTGGCCAGTCACTGCCGTGATGGTCCGCGGCGAGGGTGGCCCGAGCAGAGCCGTCCAGCAAGGCTCTCATGCTGGAAAAACCACAGAGCAGCCCAGAGGCTCCTGTGCGAGGGACGTGGTGTGGGGGGCGTTTTGTGGGGTATGGGGTTGTTGTGTGTGTTAGGCCTGCGTGTGGAGGCGCACTGTGGTGTGAGCGTGTGCGCGCGTAAGCACAGAGAGCGTGACCCTGCCTGGCCCATCCCAGCTTCTCCTTTGCCATCTTCCTCCCTCACCCCTCCCACGTGGGCCCTGCCCCACCCAGGGGGCACCCTCACCCCTTCTAAGGGGAACTCAGGACACCCGAGCCCCCAAAGTGCCACAGCCTGTATACAGGAGCATTTCCTGCGGACAGGCGAGCAGGGGTCGCCTGGCCCAGCGTCTGCCTGACGGGGAGGGGCTGGGTTCCTTGGGTTGCAGCCAAGGGATCAAAAATTGCTAGGCGGGAAGGTTCTAGAAAGAGAGGTGGCGTGATGGGGGGTGAGAAAGTCCCGGTGCGCGGAGCCCTAAGTGAGGAGCTGACCCAGGAGGGCGGGCCCAGGAGGAACAGGGAGGGCGGCCGGGCTGTGCTGATGGCGAGCCGCCTCCCCGCCTCTGTTGGCACCGGAGGGCCCCACGGTGACTCCCACAGCTGCCTCTGGCCACCAGCAGCCCCGGCTCTGCAGCCTCAGCCCCGACACGATCACGCTGGCCCCGTGTCGGGGGCAGGAGGGTCACAGAGGCTGTCTGTGGGGGGCAGAGCCCGGTGCCAGGGGCTGGCCCCCACGGGACCCGGCATCTGGACGGAGTCCTCTCCATGGCCGCCCTCTGCAGCTCTGAGGGCCTTGCTTTCGAGGGTCAGAGCTCCTAGGTGGGCCGTGGGCGTGCGTACGTCGGCCTGGCCACGAGACGTGCCTCTGGGCGGCGAGGCTCCCGAGGGCGGGCCTGGGGGCGAGAGGGCGTTGCCAGCGGGTCAGTGACCTACACCCCTCGGGCGACCTCGAGCCGCCACGGGCTCTGCTTGCAGGCACTGGAGTCACCCGGCCGCCCTGGCTGGTCAGATGGGCCTCACGCCCCTGCGTGCGAGGTGCAGTCGTGTCCTTCGGGCTATTTCAGCAGCTCCCTGCCTTCCCTAGGGCCCTTCTCGGTCCCCAAACTGTCCTCAGTGGCGCGTCACACATCCCCTCACGGCCCTGCACAAACCCTACGAGCTCGAGCCGGCCCAGGGCCGCTGGCCTCTCCCCGGCTTCCCGCCTGGTCTCCACGGCCTCCGCTCCTGGGCTCCCGGGGCCACGCTGGACGAGCCAACCCGGCTGCTGCCCCGGGCCCTTTGCACACGCCCCTCCCGCCACCCACCGTGCCAACCCCAGATCGCCCGCCTTCCTGGCCTCACCTCCTCCCAGTCTCCTCTGGCTGCCTGGCCAGGGCCAGGGCCACCGCCCCCGCCCCCCCACCGCCAGGCTTCGTGGCTTGTACAGCACTGTTCTTTCCGTGAAAGGCTTGACTGGCGGTGAGCTGTCCCCACCCGGACTCCGCTGCCCAGGAGTGGGGACATTCGTCTGCTTTGCTCATAGCTGAGCGGGCGTGAGAGGAGGGAAGGGCTGAGTGCGTGAATGAATGGGTGAGCTGCTCTTGTAAGGTCTGAAAGATGGGGGAGACGGAAGTGGCCACGGCAGTTCTTCTTGGGGAGAATCCGTGGACCTGGGTGGCTAAGGTCATGAGGTCGGAGGATCATACTCCAGAGATTTCGGGGGAGCCAGGCTGCCTGGCGTGTGGCCCTGTGCTGGCGCGGACTGCTGAGCCCGCTCTCCTGTGCCGGCTGGGCCCGGCCAGGCCTCGGCTCCGGTGGAGGAGCAGATGAGGGCGGGTGAAGCTGGCAGCCCTGGTCACTCTGGGGGACCCCTCAAGCCTCCGACTAGCCACTTCCTGGAAAAGGACACCGCCGTCGCGGGCTAATCTGGGTTTTCTAAGTGCTGGCAGGACTGAAGGCCGCCGTCCCCTCCCAGAAAGTCCAGGCGTGAACCCACCTTCCAACCCCAGGCCCCAGTGCCTTTCCCTGGGCCACGGTGGCCCCCCCATCCTTCTAAGCCCCAGCTCACCCCCCCTGCGGTAGTCTCGTCCTGTAGGGCCAAACCCCTGGGCCGGGAGCCCCGGCACCCTGGCGTCTCTCTCAAGGCCTGAAATAACAAGAACGATGCTCCACCCCCCGGATGCCCTGTGGGGGCTCACCTGAGCCCCCCAGAGCAGTGGGGGCCAAGGGGCTTTGTCGCTGTCTCCATGTACAGGCAACCGAGGCTCCGGGAGCGGCGCGGCCGTCGGGTCGCCTTAGACCTGACCCCACACGCCCCGGGGCGCCTGCTCCCCCGGACTGTCTCCTGCCTCCCAGACCAGAGAGGGCCACGCTGGCCGGCGCCCTGCTCACCTGGGTCCTCTTCCAGCTCTCCAGCGCCCCTGTTGCTGCCCCCAGGCCCTGCGGCGTGGGGACCCGCTGGCCCCCCGCGGGCGCTCGTGGTTCTGTTGCTGATGCCGATGCTGACGTTCTTGAGGGCGCACGAGCTGAGGTGGACTTCCTGCTCCACGGCCCCCTCGGGGGCAGGGCCGGGATGGGACATGTGCCATTTGAAAGACGCTTCTGGGGTGGCAGTGGTGGCCGAGACTGTGGGTCAGCCGAAGATGGAGAAGTGGGGGGCGGGTGAGCGGCGGGGCGACGGCCCCGGCCCTGTGTGTCCCCCGTGGCTGACCCCACCCCTCAACCGCGCCCGTGAGCCCCACTCTGCTTAGTCCACGGCTGAGACCTTGCCCCTGCCTGGGCCGGGGGCTCCCTCTGCGCCCGCCTGCCCAGGCTCCCAGCCCGGGTCCCCCGCCATCAGCTCCCCCAGGCACCCTGAGACTCAGCCCCCGGCCCTGGTGCGGCCTCTCGGCAGCCCACCCAACTGCGCCTGGCCTCTCACGTGCACCCCGGCCCCGCCCCGCCTCGCCCTCCTGCCCCCCGTCTTGGGGAGAGCGCTGTCCTCACTCAGTGTCACATCCGCCCAGCCCTCCGGCCTCTCGCTGCGGGACCCCGAGGAGCTGCCCACCACCCCTCCTCCCCTCTCTGGAGGCTTCTGGCCACCGACCTCCTCCGCCCCTGGCCACCCTGCTGCCTCTCTGCCCCTGCCCGTCTGTGATGACCATGCTGGGCAGGTCAGCCGGCCCCGGGTTGCTGTCAGCCTGCTCAGCAGGACACGGCTGCTCGGCCCCGCACCTCCCGTCGGCCCCAGCTCTCGTCCGCTGCAGTGACCCAGCTGCCCCACGCCCACTCTGCGGTGAGGAGCGCGGCTGGGGCCGGTGCCGTGGGAGCCCGGCGCCAACTCTAAGGTGTCCCTGCCCAGCGCTGCGGTTCCACCTCCACGTGGCAGGCAGGGAATTTCCCATCATGCCTCTGCCCCAGAAAGCCGCATCCAAGGAGCTGGCCGGGGCGGGACAGCCGCTGGGCCCCAGTACCTGGGGGGCTGCCCAGGGGGCTGCCCAGGGGGCTGTGGGCGGAGTCCTCGGGCTCGGCGCTGTGGACGCTCATCTGGTTGGCGTGTCCCAGCTGCACCAGCTTGAGCACAGACTTCTCCAGGTGGATGTTCTGAGAGCCCCACATTCCAGGGGTGGGATTCTGAGGTGGAGGGAGGTGAGGGGGAGCCATGGCACCTGGCAGACACAGCAATGAGACCTCTGACCTCCACCTGCTAAGCTCCACCCCCCACACACCAGCCCTGGGCTCTGGATTCTTCCCGGACCGTGGGTCCTGGGAATAGCCCCGGGGCGGGGGGCTGGATGGACAGGGGAGCCCACAGCGGGCCGGCCTCTGCTCCCAGCCTCTCTTGGGGTCTTTAATGCCGGCTCCAGCCCCGCCCGCCTCTGCGACACGCAGAGCCTCAGCTGTCGTTTTGCTTGGTCAGCACTTGTTTCCACGGGGGCCTTGGTTTCCAGCTGAAGGTGATGTTCTGAAACTTTGCTTTAAATTTTTTCATTTGAGTAGAGTAAAGAGATTTGACAACATTAAATGGTCAGGCATAGAGATGGCCAGAATCGGAGAGGCGGTGTCGGGGCACCGAAGTTCAGAAACGATCTAGATTCTAGAGCAAAGCCCCATTTTTCCCATGGAAACTGAGGCCAAGAGCAGTGCTCTCCTGAGGTCACAGGGACTGTCCCCCCACGCCCCCGGGCTGATACTGTGTGTCCCGAAGTTGGACTCTGGGCACCCCGGTGCCCCCCACCACAGCGCCTCAGAACCAGGGGCTGCTGGGAAGAGGCACCCTGAGATGTCAGAATCCAGGGAAATCATGTCTCAGAGCAGACAAATATTAAACAAACACAAAATCTTGAGGCTTTCTACAGAGGGAGAGAAAATGGTGTTGTGCCTCGTGGGAAAACATGAGGTCAAACAAGGTAGAAGGCGTCGGAATGGAGGGAACAGGAGATCCTTGATCCGGCACCAGGAACGACTTCTTCCTTCTGAGGGAGGTCGCCAAGGAGGCCCTTGGGACCCGAAAGCGGCCCTTTCTCCTCAGGGCTGAATACCCACCGCCACCCCCAGATGGAGCAGCTGCCCTCCGGTCCTCTCCCTGGGGTCCCCCCGGGACTCACCACTCCCCGCAGAGGCCTCTGGCTTCATGATGATGTTCCCATGTCCAATCTGGAGGTCTGCACAGTTCTGAATGTAGATGCCACTCTGCGGTGCATTCTGGCTGATCATGTTAACTGGATTTTTCTGAACGATAATTGTGGTAGCCTGATTTGTCCCTCCGGACTGTCCTGCAAAATAATATCCCGCTGGTCCCTCTAGTAATCAGGGGTCACAGATCACCACTGGCAGCATAAAATCCTCCTGGGGAGCTTATTGAGACAGATCCCTGGGCGCCCACCCATGGGTGCTGTGTCGGTCAATCCACGTGAGCCCAGGAGCTGGATCTTTGCCCAGGAACGTGATGCATGTCCCCATGGCAGGTCACCCGACCTGTGTGATGGTCCTCCCCCCGGCCGTGGCTGCGAGGGGGCCGTCCCTGGGTAGCTTCTGGTCTCCAGGCAAGAATTCCTTATTTTTAAATATTTTTAAACTTTTCTAATTTTTGAAAACAAATTTATTTATTTATACACACAAGAACTGGGGTACAAGCCAGAGGTGCGTGGGTGAGAGGATTCCCCAGAGACAGAGTTGGGAGCAGAACAGGCCGATGGACTGAGACTCACTGCTGAGGGGAGCAGTGGGCGGGTCAGGAAAGGTCTGCTGCGGCCTGTGGGTATCCCCCGGCCAGGCACGGAACTTGTGCCAGGGCTGTGGACAGCATCACAGTGCTGTGCTTTAACCCACTGAGCCACCAGGGGCCCTTTTACACTTGTCTAACTACACCCATCAGCCATGAGCAAATAAGGTCTGTCAACCTTACATGGCTCTTCCAACAACCTGGATTTGCCACCATGGACTTGCCACAGGACCCCTAGTGTGCTGAGACACCCTTGGCCCTGAACGGGGGCCTCCGCCCTTTCTACCCACATCCCCACGATCCTGGGTCCTGGGCTCTTTTGCCTTTGTGGGTCCCTTTCTCTATTAAAAATACTTAAAAGTCCACTTTCTGACTGTGTTGAAATAGAGATGGATGCAATCCTGGCTGACATCATTATTAGTATCATTAAGATGATGAGATTCATTTGAAAATAAATGAGAACATTTTTAGAGGACCCTTGGAAGTTCCCCAACTCCAGCCTCTCCCCTGCTGCACCCCATGGATGAGTGGGCCCTGCTCCCTATGTACATCTGAGCCTAGCCTGGCCGACTCTTCCAGCAACTTTAAAATAATAATCCATATGGGTAAATCCATATAGATCTAGCATCCATGTAGATAGATTCATAGAATCCAGCAATTCTGCACCCAGTTTTCTCCCCAAAGAATTCAAAGACACTAATTTGAAGGGCTGTCTGCGCCCCTATGTTCACTGCAGCACTGCTTGCATTAACCATGTTATATATATACATGGTGTGTTTCTGGTGGAATACTACTCAGCTGTGAAAAAGGTGAATCTGTGGAAAAAGAGAATGATGCTGAGTGAAATAAATCAGAAGAAAAAAGACAAGTACCAGGTGATTTCACTCAGTGTGACTATAAGAAACAAAACAATGGAACAGACAAGAACAAACCAACACAAACTAGAAATTTGACAGCAGAATTGAGGCTCCTGTGGGGCAGGTGGGGTGTGGCGCAAAGGGGGGAGAAGGCCCAAGGGACTGGTGGGTGCTTTGGTGGTAGGTGTGGTGTGGTCACATACACCTGAAGAGATGTGAGTCCACACCCCTAAAACACCTACCGTGGTGTGAACCAATGTACCTCACTAGAAAATATTAAGAAATGAAGTAACAACTCAAGACCATATGATGGAAAAAGGAAAAAAAGGTACTTCCCAGTTGGGCAAGCGCTTACAGAAAATGTCAGCAAGCTCTGGCTGAGTCCTGCACCCACGTTAGGACTGGGCCACCTTCCTCTTGGCCCACTGCCTTGTGCAACCACAGCAGCAAAACACACTCCAGGGAGCCCTCCCTGATTACTCCCTGCTAGCTCCCCCTTCCAACAACCGGTCAGCCAGACTCTTACCGGCTTCTGAAAGGGCCTGATGAGGTGGACAGGCAGAGTGTGCGGGCAGGTGAAGACTACCTGGTCGATAAACCGCCCACATGCTTGAATTTTGGTCCAAGTCCAGAAGGTGCAGTTTTTTCAGAGTGTATAAATCTGGGTTGACGTCCTTGGCTGTCTCCATTCCCAGGGCCTTGGCGATGTGCAGGGCTCTCTGGGGCCCTTGGGCTTCTAGGAACTTGTAGATCTCTTTTTCTGGGGAGCAGGATGGCAGGTGGTTTCGGAGGACACCCAGCTTTGAACCCGCTCGCCCAAGACCAGTCATGCAACGTGGGCAGACCCGGCCCCTCTGTCCCGGGGCGCGCCGTGAAAGGGGGCTCAGGGAACATCTGTGCTGGGTTGGGGCCCAGGGGTGGAGACGGTGGCTGGCACGTGGCCGGCGCATGGGCCTGATTGGCCAAAGCCGCTTCCGTCCCCTGAGAGGACGCACAGTGGGAACCCCTGGGGGGCAGCCCTGAACAGGCGAGCGCCTCAGGCAGCCCAGGGGTGTTGGGGCTCAGAGGAGGTGGGAGGGCCCAGGGTGCTTACGCCGGTCAGTGAGCTGACTGCGGGGGCTCCCGGGGATTGACAGAGCATTTTGTTGGGGCGTCTTAGCTGGAGAAGGAGAGAGGAGAGTGAGGGTAGAAGAACGGAGAGCGGACGGCCCGCCCTGCCCCCGCCCGGCGGCAGCACCGGGCCCCAGGGCACCCACCTGGCTTCGGCCCCTGCCCCACCGCTTCCACACTGTGTGGCTTCGCGACCACGTGACCTTCTCGGGGCTCAGCTTTCTTGTCTGCAAAGAGGCAAAGAGCACCATCTGTCCACCCCGGTGGCCCCGCAGGGACGGGCGTGGGGCTCTTTGGGCCAGAGAGGGCGCCAGGCCCCAGCCGCCGCCGTGTCTTCCGGGCGCGGCCGGCCTGAGCCTCGGGGCCCTCTGACCGCTGGCAGCCGCACGCCGGACGTCCTCCCCGCGGATGAGCAAGGGGAACCACGGCCGAGGGAGGGGCCGCACCAAGCGGGTTACCTGGGCCGGGCGGCGTCTGCTTGGGGGGCA